GAGAGGGTCAGAGGGAGAAGCAGGCTCCCCGCCGAGCTCGGAGCCCGATGCGGGACTCGATCCCAGGACTCCGGGACCATGACCCAAGCCGAAGGCAGTCGCTTAACCAACTGAGCCACCCAGGCGCCCTTCCCTATTCCATTCTGATTCTCTGGAGATGAATGAACTCATCCTTCCCTGCAGTAAGAGGACACTTGGTACCTTGCTGAAAAAAAGGAGTTCTCACACAATTCCTTGCTTGTATTCTACCAGCAAGAAAGCAAACAAATAAGCATCTCCAATGCTTCCTAGCTTCTGCCCCAAATCTAAAATTCAGTGCATTCTTCTCAGAAGAGCAGACCAGGAACCCTGCAGGTTAGCTGGGAACAGAGCAGAGTGCCAGCACTCACCTGAATTGGGGTCATGGTAGCAGAGCAGGGTGAAACATTTCTTCTTGAGCTGCTCCTCCACGTCCAGTGGGAGCCGAGCTCTCATCCACACAAAATCCTATAGCCACAGAAGCAAAAAGAGAGATGCAAATAGACTATTAGAACTAGGAAGATCCAACCAATGAGTAAAGGATGATAACACTCTCACTGATACCAGAAAAATGCATCAAGAGACAACAGGAAGATTCATTTTTATTAGCCTATCAAATTTGCAAAGAATAAAATGATGGTCAAGACCCCATGTTGATGAAAAGGTGGGGAACTGGCAATATGTACCAATATGTTTAATGTGTATATCCTCTGACCAGTGATCCCACTTTGAGAACTCATAATTGGGGAAATAATCATACAAAGGCAAACACACTTATGAACTAGCAATGTTCCTATCAGTGAGGTTTTTAACAGCAAAAATGCAGAAACTACCATATCCATCATTAAGGTTAAGCAAACTATGCTACATCCATACAAATGGAATCCATTTTTTTTTTTAATGTAATCTCTACCCCCCAATGTGGGGCTCAAACTCACCACCCTGAGATCAAGAGTTGCAAGGTCTACCGACTGAGCCAGCCAGGCGCCCCCATACAATGGAATCCTATCAGTGATTTAAACTGATGAAATAGGGGCGCCTGGGTGGCTCAGTTGGTTTCGGCTCAGGTCATGATCTCAGGGTTGTGAGATTGAGCCACGAGTCAGCTCCATGCTCAGCAGGGAGTCTGCTTGGGATTCTCTCTCTCCCTCTGCCCCTCCTCTCACTTGCACTCTCTCCCTCTCAAATAAATAAATAAATCCTTTAAAAAATAAAATAAAACAGGGGCGCCTGTGTGGCTCAGCTGTTAAGCGTCTGCCTTCAGCTCAGGTCATGATCTCAGGGTCCTGGGATGGAGCCCCGCATCGGGCTCCCTCCTCGGCAGGAAGCCTGCTTCTCCGTCTCCCACTCCCCTTGCTTGTGTTCCTGATCTCGCTGTGTCTCCCTGTCAAATAATAAATAAAATCTTAAAAATAAATAAATAAATAAAATAAAATAAAATAAACTGATGATATAATAAGAACGCTGAGCACAGACTATGTGCCTGGCACTGTGCTAAGAGTGCTTTAGGAGCTATCATCTTATTCACATTTATTTATTGACTTGAAAAAAGTCCCAAATATATTAAGTGAAAACAGATTACATTCACTATACAAGCATGGAGGCTATAATACCATTTATGTCGAGCTGTATAAAATATACTGTCCTTATTCCTAGGTGTAGTATTTCAGCTTTTACTTTCTTCTGTGTAACATTTTTCTTATTTGAGTTTGGCCCCCATGAACATGTGTCATTTTTACAAAAACAAAAATGTAACAAAAAACCGTTTAAATATATAGGAGAAATTAAGCCATTTCACTTCTTTGGTCCCAATATCTGCCCACCCACAACCTCTGAGCGGGGCATGAGCTCCAGAAGGTCCGCCCTCTCCAGCCCCAACAGCGGAGGCATTTCTCTCTCCTGGCTGGGACCTAACAGTCGTGTCAGTTCAGTCACGAGTAGCCGCTGTTCAAGGGTCTCATGAAACTGAGAGAGAATAAAAAACAAAAAGAGGTTACTATACAACTTCTCCCCCTCCTCCTCCTCCATCCTCATAAACCAGTTCGTCACACATTTCCAAAGTCCTCAAACATCTTATCCCCTTCAGCTGCCAGTGCCTTCTCCTGTCAATCTTTCTTTTCAAAACCCTGACAACACACCCACCTCTTCCGCCATAATTACAATCTATTTCTTCTTCTTCTTTTAACAGATTTTATTCTTAAGTAATATCTACACCCAGTGTGGGGCTTGAACTCACAGGCTTGAACCCTGAGATCAAGAGTCACACGCTCCACCCACCAAGCCAGCCAGGTGCCCAGTCCGTTTCTTCTTTGATAACCATTACTCGAAGTTCCTATTTCCCCCAGAGCATACAATCAGGTGAAGCCATAGTTGGCCTGGTCATTCCTGCAGCTGGTAACTACCCCCTACTGCATCTCTCCTGCTTCACCTTTTTGTCCTCAGAAGTTAAATTTGTGTCTTGTGTCTTCACATAGTAGTCCACAAGCAGCTCTTGAATGACTCTCTGTAAAATCTCAGACCTCAGCCATGTTGTCTTATGCAGTCGAACTTCCTTCCATGCCTACGAAACCAAAAAAATCCCAGGTAGGAACCTCTTTCTCTCTTGGAAACTTTTTCCTTCCTCCTATCATCCCTCCTCCCAGGGCTCTTACCTGAGCCTGCTCCTTTGCCAGGGTGAGGCTTAAGCCGCTCTCATCCATGTGCTGTGAGAGACCCAGCAGCAGTTTGCTGAAGTGTGGGTTCTGTAACAGGTCCTCTTCACTCAGGTTACAAGGAGGCAGCTGTTTGCTGCACACTTAATGGGATGTCCCCCATAGGGGCAAAAAAAAAAAAAAAAAAAGCAAAGAAGCTATCATATATAATTGAGAATCACTCTTAGCTTAATACTCACTTCCAGGGGCGCCCGGGTGGCTCAGTTGGTTAAGCGGCTACCTTCGGCTCAGGTCATGATCCTGGAGTCCCGGGATCGAGTCCCGCATCGGGCTCCCTGCTCGGCGGGGAGTCTGCTTCTCCC